TTTGAAAGTAACTTTATTTTTTATCATGATGGAGTGATGTTTTTATTATAATACTAGTGAATTTTATTGATTATTTTCTTTTAGGGGGTAAATTGTATAGAATGATTAAAAATTATTTTAGAAATAATGATTCTTTTATTATTAGAAAGTTAGATATTAGATTATTTATACTTGTATAATCATGTAGAAGTTTTATTTTCTATGAGTTTTCTTAATCATGTTTGTAATTATTTCAAACTATTGATGTATTTTATAATTTTGTGTTATTATATTATTATACAATATAGTAAATTAAAAATTTAATGATCCATAGAGCTTACACTCTATGCCTTGCCCTATACTAAGTAAGACTCTCCGCCTCACGCCTTTGCTTTTTAAAATACTGATACAACATAATTTGATTTGATTTAGTTTTTTTTTTAAAATAACTAAAAAAAAACTAAACAAAACCAACAGTATAATTATATATTTAAAAGTTATAATTATACACACATATGTGTACATTATATAAAATCATGCAGTATATATTAATCTTTTGCACCTTAATTGGTTCTATTTACATTTATAGTAATCACTAGGTATGGATTGCTCGTGCAGAGCACGTGGCCAATTTTTCCGCCTTCAAATGCCGATTCAGTATTTACACTTTTTCATGCCATTTTTCTTTCTTACGCAAGACATTGGAGCATGTATATCTTACATTTTATTGAGAAATGATAAATGAAAAACACTGCTATTTTCTTAGACACATACATATTTTCAATTCATGTGCATTTTCACGTTGGAGAGACATTGTCACGATCCAAAAATGGATGTGATGACACCCGTCTTATCCTATCAAAATAAGTCAGCCTAAACCTCAACTATTACGATAAAGTGCGGAAATAAACTATAAATAAAAGTCTAATACTTTAATATAATGCGGAAATTCATAATCGACTTAAATATACCCCTAAAATATGGTTGTCATGTGTACAAGTCTCTATTGTATTACACTATAATTGAAAGAAAACATACGTCTCAAATGATGTTGTCTCTAAAATAGAACAAGATCATAAATAGGAGTAAGAAGGTCCACTGAGATGACAAACAACTACCTTACAAATCTCCACATGAAGCCTTGAAAAAGAAGAGAATAGAAAGTATCACGAAGATCTGGGCTCGTAACCTACAAAAATGTAGAAGTAAGGGGTGATTACCAAATCACACAATACTCAACAAGTAAACTTCTAAACACAAGCTAAGGGAATAGAATACGGATACTCCTACCACCCCAACCGAACCTCCACAACTACAACCTGCATAAAATCAGTCCAACCTAACAGTTCACAATTTACATAGCACACTGCTCAACAACAACACTCTAACAATTACATATCCTCAATAGCAAACTCAATATTCATCAATCAAACTTGGATGGTTTGAGGTTGGTGAAGCTGGGTTGATAGGACCAGACTTGGTTTATCAAGCTATGAAAAAAGTGAAGATCATTCAAGAAAGGTTGAACATTGCGCAAAGTCGTCAGAGATTCTATACATATGTTAGGAGAAGAGATTTGGAATTTGAGGTGGATGATTGGGTTTACTTGAAAGTTTCACCCATGAAGGGTGTTATGAGATTTGGTAAAAAGGGGAAGCTTAGTCCCCGGTATATAGGTCCTTACAGGATATCCAAGAGAATTGACAATGTAGCTTATGAGTTAAAGTTACCGTCAGAGTTAGTAGTAGTCCATCCGGTATTCAACATTTCTATGTTGAAGAAGTGTATGGTCAATCCTTCACTTATCATACCTATTGAAAATATTGGTATTAAGGACAACCTATCTTATGAGGAAATACTCCTTCATATTCTTGATCGTCAGGTTCACAAGTTGAGAACCAAAGAGGTTGCATTAGTCAAGGTCTTATGGAGAAATCAGAAGCTACTTGGGAGGCCGATGAAGATATGAAGAAGAGATACGCACATTGCTTTCAGAGAAATTCCAAACTAAGGTATTAACTTTTATACTCTTTAAGTTGATATGCTGAGTTATGTGAATTGCATGTTGGGTGTTTGAGTTGGGTGTTAGATGTTTCCACCCTCAATTCTATTTAGAGTGATCTCATTCGAGGACGATTGTTCCCTAGGGGAAGTTATTGTAACACCTCGATCTTAGAAAGAGCTAAAATTAGAAAGAGCTAAATTGAGAGTAGTGCAAGTTATTCTTCAATTGTGAGTTTTGGGTCAACTTCAAACGACCAAAACATTCAACACAAGATGTGTTAAGTGGACCATGAGGTATCAAATTTAAGGTCGTTGAGTCCTCTTTCCAACGCAAAGCACCAAGTTTGCTAAATTCTGAGTTCGAATTAAGGAGATATGCCCGTTTGAGTGCAGCATATCTACTCAAGGAAATTCATTCGTTTTAAGGAGGAGTATTTTGGTATTTTCCTTACCCCACTAGCTTAACACATTTTACCCACCTAAGTTAAAAGGTCTAATAAGATCAAGTCAATTTTTATTCATTCTAAAACGTTCAAGAAGGTTAGGGCAAAGTTCAAAAGGAGAAAGGAGGAGGTTTCAAGAAATTCTTCAAGAATTTTGGGAAATCGCCAAAAACTTAATTCTTTCGAGGTATGTAAGTTTTCATAGTGATGGGTTTGTTCACCCTCATGCCAATCATGAGTTTCCTTATTGAATTCTTCCATAAGATTGAGTATATTTAGATTCTTGATGAGGTTCTTAAGGTTTGTGCTTCATTATTTAACAATTGGGTTTTGTTGAGTTCTTGAGGTGAGGGTCTTGCAAATGATTGTTGCTCTTGAGGTATTTTGAGTAGATTTTCGTTTACATGTGTTGGGTTTATGAATCTAAGGGAGTTTGGAAGAAATCAATCAATTCTAGGTGAATTAGGACAAAAAATCGAGAAGAAAAATTAGTGAGAACATTCTGGAATTGGGCAGGGGCGGCGTGCCCCCGCAGCGCCCGAGGGGCTGGCGCCTTGCTCCTGCAGTGTGCCCTAAACCAGCCTCAGGAAACTGAGGGCTGGAGCGGCGCCCCCTGTTGCTCCAGGCCCCTTTCGCCTCCGTTCTTTGTTCCGTACATACGCGTTCCTTTGAATCGTGTCTTCACTCTCTTCTTATTTCCAACTATCTAAGTCTTCACTATCATTGAGTGATCCTATATATCCTAATCATAACTCTTGAATTCACATTTCAAATTCAAGTAAAGATTAAGAGTAAAGTTCGAGAAAATCTTTTGAGTCATTTCGAGAAGTCTTCTACAATTATTTATAACTTGTTTTAAGACTTGAGTAAATGAGTGTGAGAATGAGGAGAATTGAGTTTCATTTTTCAAAATGAGTATACTCAAGAGTAACCATTTTTACATTTAAAATGAGAGGAAATCTTGATTTCTAAATGAGTTCTTGAGGAATTTTGACCAGTATCTCTTTTAAGAGAACCTTTCAGTAATTATCTCAAATTGAGGAGGAGTTATATTTTTAAACATATGAGCATGAGTATATATATTATTGGAAGTAGTATTGAGCATCGATATGGATGAGTTCAGACAACTCAAAATCCTCATAAACCATGTATGCTAACATGGGTAAAAGATCATACTTTTTAGATGATTCCTTATTACTTTTAAGCATAGGTTAGTGGATCCACTTAGTTGAGGATTTCTATACCCCGACAAGGTATAGAACAGTTATGGCAGCGCGGGCGAGACGTTGTATCATCACGTAACTCATAGTGATGGTTGTCGGTTAGAGAATCTCCCAAATGAGAGTAAAGAGTTATTATTGTCTTTTTTATACATTTTGAGTTGTTTTCTACTGTTTACAAAGCTTTATATATTGAATATTATTATCATTTCACGTTGAGTTGAGTTGAGTTAAGACGAGGTGAGTATGTTTTCCCTTTCTATCAGTTTAAGTTATATATTATGTTTCAATGTCCCCTTACATGCTCGTACATTCAATGTACTGATGTCATTCGAACTGCATCATTTCATGATGTAGATACAGGTGTTCAGGGTCATCAACAGGCGCTCTTTTGATACCACTTGCAGTCCCAGTCCCAGTTAGCTTTGGTGAGCCTCATTGCTTTCGAAGGGTTTCACATTTGTTTTCCAATTTGTTAAGATGTCGTGGGTCTTATCCCGACTTACTTCATTATTTAGAGGCTTCATAGACAATAGTATTTTGAGGAGTCTTTTTCATTTCCATTGTTAATGTTCTAAGACTTGGGTTGCCTTCTTATAGCTAGTTGAATATTTTGAACATTATGAGTTATTTACTTTGAGACAATTGAGTTAATCTTTGCATTTGATTCCTAAGTTGTTGAGTGAGTCTTCCATTGAATATTGAGCCAGGACAATGGTTTACTTGAGGACCAGCAATGGTTCTCAAGTGCCGACCACGTTGAAGGTGTAGACTCAGGGTGTGACATAACTTGTATCCATGCGCTTCATATTATGTTAGAAATATTACCTACTGGACCCCAAACCCTAATAAAAATTGATTAATTATTTTATCTATTTGTTTGATTTTTTCATTTGGATCATTTTTTTACCTAAATTGTAAACACTTCTGTGATGTGGCAAAAAATTTAAAGGTAAAGACAATGACAAGAAGCAATCATATACCAGCGGTATTCGAACACTTTCTAATCTTAGTAGTTCTTCTATCCAACATTCAAATAACGATTCTAATACTTTCCAACAACTTTGTTGCTGCTGAAAAAAGACTATTCATTTTCTCTAATAGTACATCTTCTTTATCATACCTCTTTTATGCCTCCAAGAACCTCTAGTGGATAGTAGCAAACTAGAGAAATTCAAAAGGAGACTAAGGATGGATCATAGCTTCTTCAATATTAACAACAAGATATGGATTTACTGGAACCACGAGATCATTGTAGACATCATACAAGATAAAGATCAACATGTTCTTATTAAAATTTCCCATAATGATGGGCCATCCATTTTCCTGTCAATTATCTATGCTAAATGTTCAGAAGGCTTGAGAAGAGAATTGTGGGCGGATCTCAAAACTATTGCTAACACTGTTCAAGGTCCCTGGGGTGCTATTGGGGACTTCAATGGCATTTGCACGGCTGAGGAAAAAATGGGTGGAAGACCTTTCACCCTTGGAGAAAGCTTGGACTTTCTAGACTGCCTGAGTGAGTGTGGGCTTCAAGATGCAGGATATTCTGGTGCTAAATTCACTTGGTGCGACAACAGGGATCCCCCTAACACTATCTGGAAAAGGCTCAATAGATTAGTTTATAATACCAATTAACACGACTAGTGTGTCCCATCTCTCAAGGACATGCTCAGATCATGCCCTTTTGTTGGTCAACATGAACAACATTGCTCCCCAATGTATTAAATATTTCAAATTCCTTAACGTTTGGACTGAACATGAAAACTTTCTTGGTACCATTCAAAGGTGTTGGGAAGAACTAGTAGTGGGAAATCCTATGTATATTTTACATCAGAAGATAAAAAAAAACTTGTAAAATGCTTAGTCTCTGGTCTAGAGAGACTTATGGAGACATCTATGAGGAGCCAATAAGACTGGAAGCCCAAATGAAAGTACTGGAAGAAAATAGTGTTATGAACAACACTAAGGCCAACAAATGTGAACTTTCTAGATGCAGAGCTGAGTTCACAAAATATTTGAAACTTCAAGATGCCATCCTAAGACAAAAGGCTAAGGCCAAATGGTTAGAGGAAGGAGATGCCAATACTTCTTACTTTCACAGCACTATTAAAGATAGGAGGAGGAGACTCTCTTTAAAGAAAATTATGAATGAGCAGAGTCAATGGCTTGAAGGAAATGATCAAATTGCTGAAGGAGCAGTGAGCTTTTACCAAAAATTGTTTAGCCGTGAAAGTGTCGCTATAGATACTGAAACTATCAACTATTTACCAAGATGTATCACTAATGAGGATAATGAGATGTTGAGTGCTCTGCCAACCCTTCAAGAAGTCAAAGAGTATGTTTTCTCTTTAGATCCAGATAGTGCACGGGGGCCAGATGGACTCAGTGGATGCTTTTATCAAGCAACTTGAAACATAATAGTTTCTGATGTCCACAAAGCTATTATTTCCTTCTTCTCAGGTGATATCTTTCCAAAAAATTTTACTCATACTTGTTTAGTTCTTATTCCGAAGATTGATCACCCTCAAAGTTTCTCTGATTTAAGACCTATTAGCTTGTGCAATGTCTCTAGTAAAATAATCTCTAAGATTCTCAATGCAAGACTTGCTAGTATTTTACCTAGAATTATTTCTAAGAATCAAACTAGATTTGTTAAAGGCAGGGCTATTTCAGAGAATATTATTTTGGCTCAAGTGATCATTGGAGACATTAACAAACCCAATAAAGGAGGGAATATGGTCATAAAACTGGACATGACCAAAGCTTATGATAGGGTCTCTTGGTCATTTCTGTGTTTAACTCTTAGGAAAATGGGTTTCTCGGAGAATTGGATCCACATTATTTACAACTATTTGTCAAACAACTGGTACTCTGTTATTATAAATGGAGGGAGATATGGTTTCTTCAAGTCCTCTAGAGGACTAAGACAAGGAGACCTTTTATCCCCTTCTTTTTTTATTTTGAGTGCTGAATTACTTTCTCATATGTTGACAGGTCTGCAAACCAAGAGTAGGTACAAAGGTTTCTACATGAGTGCCAATGGTCCCCAGATCAACCACTTAACATTTGCCGATGACACAATCATCTTTTGCAATGGGGACAAGAGATCTCTCAAAATGATTCTGGACACTCTCAAGAAATATGAAGACAACAGTGGCCAACTCATTAATAGAAACAAAAGTTGTTTCTCCCTCAAATCCAAAGCTAGTCTTAACACTATCATCAGAATGAAAAGGCTCACTGGTATGGTTTACCATAAATTTCCCATCAAGTATCTTGGTTGTCCCTTAATCACTGGGATAAAAAAGATTTTGTATTACAATGATATTGTCAAAAAGGTTACTAGCAAAATTAGAGGATGGCACTCTAAGCTCCTCTCTCCCGGTGGCAGAGCCATTCTCATTAGACATGTTTTGCTTGCTCTTCCCACTCATCTTCTCAGTGTTGTTGATCCTCCTAAGGGAACTTTTGAAATTATTGAAAAATGCTTAGCTAGGTTCTTTTGGTCTGGACAAGACACTGGAAACAAGCATCACTGGATCTCATGGGATAACTTGTGCTATCCATTTGAGGAAGGTGGCGTCAATTTCAGCAGAATTGAAAATATTTGTAATTCTTTAAAGTCAAAACAATGGTGGAAGCTTAGAAATTCTAAATCTCTTTGGAGTGATTTAATGAGAGCCAAGTACTGGAATAATCAACACCCTATGAAGGTCCAATGGAAAAGAGGAACCTCTCAATACTAGAAATCTCTCTGTGGGGTCAAATTTAACACCGAAAAAAATATCTATTGGAGGGTTGGAAAAGGGGATGTGTCATTTTGGTTTGATAACTGGTCCAACTTGGGACCGCTTTATCTTCTGCACCCTAACGACAACTCTCATAGTTGTATCAATCTCAACTCTGTCTTAATAGAGGGAAGTTGGCATTAGGATAGTTTGCAATACCAACTTTCAATAGAAGATAAAAATAGGATCAGCAGTATGGGTGTCCACTTGGACAACAACAAAGAGGACTATCCTATTTGGACTGATACATCTACTGGGGAATTCAGCACGAGCTCGGTTTGGAATAACAGTAGGCATAAAAGGGGGATCAACATTATGGCTAAAAACATATAGAACAAGGACATCCCTTTCAAGATGATATTTTTGACTTGGAGGGAAATCCACGATAGACTTCCAACTGATGAAAGAGTTACTAAAAAGTTTGGAATTAGTATCGGTCATGGATGTCATTGTTGCACTTCAGACGACTCTAACACAAATATTGAAAATGTAGATCACCTTTTTTGTCTAGGTCTACATGCTAAAAGAATTTGGAAGTTTTTTGCAGGGTCACTGGGAATTGGTCATATCCATAACACTTTCAAGATGATATCACTCAGTTGGTGAAATTTGAAGACTAAAAACCCCATTGTTGCTTTCATATCTAAAGCTCTACCCCCAATCATTTGCTGGGAACTCTGGAGAACTAGGTGTGGCAATAAATTTGAGGCTGTAAAGCCTTCTTTTTTCAGAACCAAAACTAACATCACTTACACTCTGTTGCATGTTACACAGAAGAATTTTGGTCAAGCAAAGATAGGGGAAAACTGGAATAGCCTTTGTCAAATCTTTGAAGCGGACATCAATCAAAGAACTTCCATCAGAGTCAAATGGCTCAAACCACCTAGAAATTTTATTAAGCTCAACAGTGATGGAAGTTGCGTTCAAGGAAGTTGTGGTGTAGGAGGGCTAATCAGAGACAACCAAGGCAACATGATGTTTGCTTACTCTTTAGGTCTAGGCCAAGGTACTTGCAACATGGCTGAAGCCCAAGCACTACTATATGGACTTAAATGGTGTGTTAGTAGAGGTTATGATAGGGTTTGGGGAGAAACAGATTCCCTACTCTTAGTTAAATGCATAAATGGAGAATGGAAAACACTTTGGAGATTGGACAAATTGATTCAAGAAGCACAACAAATAGTTGAATCTCATGGATTTATCATCAGTCATTGCTTCAGGGAAGCCAACAAACATGCTGATATATTAGCATCCAGGAGTTATAGTGTTGATGCAATACACGAGTTCAACTCTTTCTCTAATCTCCCGAGGGAAGTTAGGGGATTAATTAACACAGATAGATGGGAAATCCCTTCCTTCAGAATGCAACAGGTTAAACCTTCTAATTTTATTTACGAACCCCCCTGAATCCTCTTTGTCAAGGAGTCACGTTAGTAGGGTAATAGCTAACTTAGACTCCCCCCCCCCCCCCCCCTCTTCTTTTGGTGTTAACTTGTAGAGTTTATCTAACTCTAGTTCTACCCCAAGATCTTGTATTAAGTTTGATATACCAAACTTCAAAATGTAACTTTTTCATATCAATGATCATTGGAGGCAGTTTTAAAAAAATAATAATTCTGAACTTACTTGGAGTATTAGCTTCTTGTTATTTTAAAAAAAAAAAAAAATCCTTTTTCTCTCTCTAAATATATATTTTAAAAGTATGAAGGTCCTTAAGAATGTTGTTTGAATTTTTCTCCCTTCATTAAAAAGCTCTGATTTAACAAATTCGTCTTTTCAACATTTTCCTTCAATTATTATTTAATTTTATTTCTTCAATTATTATATAATTTACTAAGTTAATCTTTTCTTATGAGTTTGTACTTGCATAGGAGTATCTGATCCTAATAACAAAAAAAAGGGAAAAAAATTGCCTAATTTATACAATGGTTCTTAAATTAGCATAGAAAAAAAGGAAAAGCCTCAAATATGCCATCGAACTTTCAGAAAAGGCTCATTTATGTCATCCGTTAAAAGTTTGGCTCATCTATGCCATTACCGTTTAAGAAAAGGCTCATTCATGCCATTATTTTTTAACGGTGGTTTTGCAAAACCATTTTTTACACGTGGCCAATTATAATTCGGCCACGTCATTATTTTTTTCAAAATTTTGATTTTTTATTAATTAAAAAATAATGACGTGGCCGAATTATAATTGGCCACGTGTACAAAATGGTTTTGCAAAACCACCGTTAAAATGTTTGTTCAGAATTTTGATTTTTTATTATTAAAAAAATAATGACGTGGCCGAATTATAATTGGCCATGTGTAAAAAATGGTTTTGCAAAACCACCGTTAAAAAATAATGGCATGAATGAGCCTTTTCTTAAACGGTAATGGCATAAATGAGCCAAAATTTTAATGAATGGCATAAATGAGCCTTTTCTAAAAGTTCGATGGCATATTTGAGCCTTTTCCCTAGAAAAAATTATGTAGCATAAGGGTATTCTAACGCATAAGTAAAAACGACAAAAAAGGATCCTTATTTATAGTGTACCATAATTTTCTAATTTGTATAAAAAAAAATCCACATACTTCTATATTTAATTATAAATGTATATAAAAAATTAATTTAGTGTGTATTACAAATGGATTATGTATCTATTATAATTTATTCCTTATTTTTCTTGAATGCATTTTTTTATTATCGTGACACACACGTGCATCGCATGTAATCTAAACTGATATTCATAATAGCATATACTTTAAGTTTTTATTTATATAAATTTCACGCTACGAGTAATAACTTTAGTAGATAATTGCTCCAAATGAATTTTCAGATCATGTATAATTTTACATTATTTAAGCTGTTGACACCTAATTTTGACCCCCCTCCATATGATATGAATTAATTACCGAGCTTCTTCAATTTCAAACGATTTAAAATAATTAGTTTTATAAAATTTCAAAAAGAAATAATAAAAATAGTTTGCAAGTTATTTTAAATAGTTTTGTCACTTTTATAATTTTAAATAATAAATATGTTTTATATAATTATGTATATAATTAGTATATTTTTTTGAAATATTTGAATATCATCACAAAATATTTTACATTTTAGTTAAATATTTTGTTAACTTAGTTTGGGTTAAATTATTGTTATAATTTTAAATTATTTAGTTTATAATTAAGTTAATTATTTTATTTCGTTACGATTAAGATTTTAATTAATTAATATTAATTCATCTTATTTAGGTTTTAGCCGAATTTGTTAATTAACTCAATTTTGTTAACTTCTTAATTTCGTTTGGCTAAATTGTTAATTCATGGCTATTTCTTGATTGTGAATCTAACCACTTTGTTACCTCAATCCAAACTCAACTTTCTTGAACCTTTGGGCCAGAATCTACCAACCCAATACCCAATTCCCAATTCTTTGGGTCCATTATCAGCAATTATACAATCAGCCCACCAAGGACCCAATTCCCAATTTCTTTATGGAAACGATCACTTCTTAATATGCATTTGCTTGTACTCACTAGTTCTCCAATATACAATTTAGTTTACTTTCAATTAGTGCTAGTAATTACTTTGCTTTGAATATTTAAGTCTTTAAACATTTGTTCATACTTGTGCCTCCTATG